TATGTTATAATCATCTTATGTTAGTAATGATTATGTTTGTTGTTTTCATTTTTCATACTTGTGCACAATTTAGAAGAAGATGTAAACAACGGGACCGTTATAGATGAATTAGCATTAATCACCATTATGTTGCTAATGTCATCTCTGTGATTTAAGATTCACTTATTCATGTTGATGGAAAATATTAACACTATAACCATTGTACAATCTTGATCAATGTGTAAATCACTGACTGCAATGATTTGGTGCTAATAATTTCATTGAACAGAATCTAATGGTGATGGTACAATCTGCTAGTGGGAGAACGTTGGCCATATTATGATAATCTAGTGACATAATATAATCATGCAAGCCAAGTGAGATATTGTAAGAATTTTTCCTAAATATGGCTTAATGTGGCTTATACATGATTATACTAGATTCATCTCATTAAGTAAGATACATGTACATCAATTAGATGGCGACTAATCATTGATGAATGCACCTATATATACATAATGTATAGAAGACTAATGGAGATAGTGTCAATGCATTGAATGTGATAGATTCATTATGAATGAATCTTAAAGATGTATTATGTATCTATTATGAATGTAGAAAATACATTAATCTATCTATTAAATTCATTAATATAGAATATGAGAACCTGAATATACAAATCAAGTAAATAATTAAATAATAATAATTTTACAATCTCAAATATTTTGATGGTGAATCCTAAAGTGCAAATTAAATATTTGGAGGGTCTTTTAATTAATTTTAAACCTAAAATAAATTTATGGTAGAAATCTCTAATTTAGAGGCAAGATTTGCTATTAAAATAAATAATAGTAATAATGTTAAATAATAATAATGAGTGGATTGTTGGTTATGTATATATTGATAACAAAAAAAAAAAAAGAAAAAAGAAAAACCCTAACTCTCTTATTATTTTCACAACACAACAACAGCCACTTTAGGTTCCTTAGCAACCGTGAGTCATTGAGAGAGAGAGAGAGAGAGAGAGAGAGAAATTTCTAGCATCTCGTGGTTCTACAACTTTAAGGCATTGTTCTTTTATAATACATTATATCTATGATTATTGTGTATAGATGTTTCAGTGTATTGATTGGAAAAGAAAAAAGGTAATGGGTTCACTGATTAGGTGTCTGGAGGATTGATCAGGTTAACAGTTGGTGTGGAATAGTGTAATGGGTGTTGTGGATGTATGAAAAACAAGTATATGGTGGGTTATATTCAATGACTGTTTTTGCTTGTAATGGTGGACCTTGTGAGTGAAACGTGGGTTAGGTAGGAGTACTTGACCACCATTGTTTGTGAATATCATGGTTTTTTTTTATGTAGTTTGAGGAATTAATTGGGTACCCAAAGTTGAGGGTGCAATTTATGAGCATAAAATTCTGCACATAGCTACAAACTTTAAAAATCAAGAAACCATATCAAACGAATGAATTTTGAACTGAAATTTTTCCAGTAGATTAATTACATATTTAATTTCATATCTGAATTTTCTCATAATTTTTGGGAGTCGAAATCTATATTAACTGCTGCATTCAAATCTGTCCAGAAAACTGGTTTAAAACAGTAACTTCGGAAGTGTTGTTCTCTTTGGGTATAAATCTGAAAGTTATCAAATCATCGTCATTAGAACCGGTTACAAGTCTAGTTTCTTAAATTTTTGTCCTTGCGTCGATTTCTCATGTGTACTAAGAGAACCATTAATTTCTTTAAAGTATTGCAGAAAACAACCTGTTTGGGCGGAATTAATTGTAAATAATTATTTTGATAAGAAAATCAAGTAAAACCAATTGAGTTTGAAACTTAGGATATATTAGTTGATATCTGGAGGGTTTTGGAATTTTTCGAACAACATGGAGCGGGTTTTTAATTTTCAAAGTTAGCGATTAGATTGGGAAAGTTTGTTTTATCTTAAAGTTACTTTTAATTAAGTTTCAATTTGAACCCATGTCTTGGGTAATTTTAGACCATGAAGAACATGAGCTTAGGTAATATTTAAGGGTAACGGTGAGTTGGGTTGAGCTGTGTTAGTACGCTTTAGTGTGGGGTACTTAGTTTATTATTCTCTTTAGTATTTTTAAATTAGTAGTGACGTATAATCTTCATACTTGGTTCAAGGCACTAGTTGGACTTTCATACTCTATTCAAGGATTATATTATTTCGTTTTCAGGTGAATAGTTGCATGCTACGTATTTTTATAAATTTTTACCTACCCTGAACTGTTGGAAAAATTAAATTGTTATTTCAGGACTAAACTGTTTTGATAATCTATTATATTATCAATGGAATTAAATTATTTATGAAACATGTGTAAACTTGGCATACTGTAAACTATTTGTTTTTGGTCTCATATTTATAATGGTGAACTACCATGCTTTGCGAAACTGATGTGTATTGATTATCGGGACCATTCGTGTATTTTAGTCTCGGGAAAATATTTCACTGTGTGTGGTGACTCTGGCCACTAGGGAACAGATCCGGGTTGGGCCGTGATGACTCTAGTGCTTAACGATTGTAAGGAAAAAACCTAGGTTAGGCTAGGTGACTTTCAATCGGATCGTCTTAGAGAAAAGGTCTGGGTTGCCACCCTGAGGATGACTCTTAGTTCGGTATTGGATCCAACGGGCTTATAGCCTTGAGAACTGTGTGGCAAGTTACTTGTTATTCTTGATACCCAGAAAATTATTGGTGTTCATGTTGTAATTCGTTTTAAGTAAAAAATGTCATTTATCATGTTCTTGAGAGACATGAGTATTTTAACTGTTGAACTGTGGAACCTTCTTTTTGAAACAGATTGTCTTTACCAAACTGTATGCCAATCTAGTTTCTGTGATATATATCTTATTTTGGAATTGATCCTTGTTTTCAAAATTGTATATACTATGCATGTTGCTACTCATTGAGCTATCAGCTGACTTTGTTGTTTATCGATTCCAGGTGTTAGAAGGACCTAGGGTGGACTCATGGCATAGCGGGGACTCAATTACATGGACCTCTAGGACGTTCATTTATTTTGTTTTAGAGTGTTATGTCAAGTTTGTGCATATTTATTTTTATTTTTATTGGAGTTCATTTAGGATTATTTTGATATGTGGACTGTTTATATCCCATAAGTTTGGATGGTTTTGATTACAGTTGGTTTTGCCATTTATAATTGTGGCATGTCACTGGATTGAGTTTTGGTTATTTATTATTGGACTATTGTTTAGTTATTCAATGTGTTTATGGATTCGTGTTTAGGCTTACGTGTGCCTTGGGCTAAGGCCCTATGGGTCACGACCGGTCATACCCGGGTTTGGGGTGTGACATAGAAGATGCATTATGTATCATGAATGTAAAAGATACAGTAATCTATTTAATGAAGTTCATTGAATGAATGGATTCTTTGATGGGAAGAGTACTATTATAAATAGTGTAAGGTCTCAAACCACACTCTGCATCACAAGAACTCAAGTTGTCACCACAAGAAGGCTCCCATCGCCTAGAGAGAGAGAAGTGGTTTAAAGATCTTAGACAAATAAAGAACTTGAAGATCAAGGTCTTCTATTCAAGATTTCTTTTTCTGAAAAGAAGTTTTCATACTATCATGGATCAAGGTATGTATACACTTATTTTATATAGTAGAAATTTATATAGTTTTCATGCATAGAATTGAATCCTTAATGGTTTTTAGTTTATGTTCCGCAAAGTTTTCTATCATATTTAACTAAAATTTAATATATATATATATATATATATGTATATATATATTGGAAATAACCTTTTTACGAGTACTGTCAAATTCCAAAACAAAAAAAAGGCACATAATTATTATTATTTTTAAATATGTATGAAAGGCCCTTGTGTTTAAAGTTCGCTATGGACTCCGAAAAAGTAGCCGGAGTGCTTGGAAAGATTGTGTAGGAATTGGTCATGTTCGACGCATTGCTTCAAAATAGTAATCAATTACTTGAAAAATTATAGGTGAATTGCTGAGTTTGAAATCTTGCTTGATTATCTTGCTTGAGAATATCTATTGGGTTCTTGGAAAGACCATGAAGGAATCAATTGGGCTTGAAATCCTACATCAGAATCATCAAGTGCTTGAAATGATTATGCAGGAATTGCCATAAAAAGGTTGAAATCTTGCTTCAAAATAAATGTCAATCCTAGAAAAGATTGTCTAGGAATTGCTTGAGTCTGGAATCCAGGATCAAATAATTTTCGATTTCTTGAAATTATTGTGGAAGAATTGTTTAAGAGTTGCTCAAACTTAAAATCCTAGTGCAGAATACGATAGATTGCTTAAAAATATTGTCGAGGAATTGCTAGAGTTTGGAATCTTGTGTAGAATAAGCACTAAATTTTTTTTGTGTGAGAATTGCTCAAGTTTCAAATCCTACTTTAGATTTACCATGGCATTCTTGAAAAGATTGTACAGGAATTGCTTGAGTTTGTTTTTTTTTGATCGGCAAATAAATCTTTATTGATGAAACATACACAGTATGATTAGAAACATCAATAAAGAGGAGCTTAGAGCTAACACGAAGCTCCAAGTGCCTGTTGGTGAGGAACCAACAAAAAGAAAAATAAAAGATGCTGCCACAAAAGCAAACTGAGAAAAGGAACGCCAAAAAACCAAAAAACCAGGTAGGAGCCTGATGGGCATTCAACCCATTGACAATCAACCCATGTGCATTCAACCCATAGACTATCCTCCCAATGACACCAAAAAAAAACCAACCCCCTAACACATTGGCATTCAACCCAATGAACCACCCAGCAAGACAAAACTCGAAACAAAACAGCGACCAAACCAGCAGCCGATCCAGATCAACACACAGCTGAGCAGACCATATCAGAAGCAGACCAGCAGAAGAGCTACCTAGCAGCAGACTCCAGATTTTGAACCACCCACGCAATGACATGATGGCTGTCATTGAGAATTACTAAAACAAACCTTCTGAGACCCACAAACTACTGAAATACAATCCTCCCAAATTCAGAACATAACAAAAACTTCACTGCTGCCCACAACCACAGATCCAGCACTTAACGACACTGTAGCAACACAGCAACACCTGCAAACCTGGAGAACAGACAAACCAGAAAACACAGTAGTGCAGAATACTGCAAACCAGCAACACAGACTGCAAACCAGCAAAACCAGACCTAAACAGAGTTGCAAAACTACACCCAGCAAACCAACACAAACCAAACTACGACCCTGCAACCACACAAAACTTGCAAACCTGCAAACCCCAATCAGACTTTGATACTGTCGAGATTTAAAATAATGTCCTCCACAGAGTACTGCAAACCTCCATAGCTATGCTTGCACCACAAAGCTATCCTCACTTTCACCAACTCAGCCAAATCAAACCCATCAACACTCTTTTGGTGAAAAAGACAATCGTTCCTAGCTTTCCAAATTGACCACAAAACAACTACAGGGACAACTTTCCACAATGATTGGATCTCCTTCTTAAATTTATAGCCAGCCCACCAATGTAGCAAACCCTCAACTGAACCTGGAACCACCCAGACCAGATCCCACCATTTAACCATGTCTGACCATAGTTTCCAAACCACAGGACACGACAACAGCAAATGATTCAAAGACTCCTCCTCTGTTTTACACAACAGGCACACTGTGTTCGCTTCAGGATTCAACACACCAATCCTTTTCAAAAACACCGAAGTTTTAAGTCTTTCTTTCCAAGCTAACCAGCTGCAGAATTTCACCTTGGGTGGAGCAGAGTTCTTCCACAACATATCAGCAACACTTACGACTGGACCTTTTGACAACATCCACCACTTCCAAGACACACCCACGGAGTAAGATCCTGAAGGATTTGCCATCCATAAACAAGAATCCCCTGCTTGGTCTGTAAGAACAAGTGTGCCCCTTAGAACCCCTTGCAACCTAGCGACCTCCTCCTCCTCCCAAGCAAACAGAAATCTGCTAAACAGAAATTTCCACTCAAGTGCCGACCCTCTATTGTGATACATCTGCAAAAGTGAACAACCCTTTTCCACAGACAGCCTGTATAGTCTAGGAAATTCCGCCTTGAGGCATAGATTATTTAACCACTTATCCTCCCCAAAAAGAATTCTTTGCCCATTTCCTACAAGAATTTTGAAATTAGATAAATAGTGCTCCATCAGTTCAGGACTAGATGCCCTAAGATGAACAACATCAGACCAAATTCTTGACACTGAACTAGACTCTGGAATGGAAGGTACCCAGCCACCAGCACCCAGACCATATTTGCACCTCACTACTTGTTTCCATATAGCTCTGTCCTCCACACCAAACCTCCACCACCATTTTAACAAGAGGCAAGCATTGACTTCTCTTAGATTTCTAAGCCCCAGACCCCCTTGTGACTTATCCACTGTTAAATTCGCCCATTTCACCAAGTGGACTTTCCTCTTAAGTTCAGATTTGCCCCATAAGAATGCTGCCTGAATCTTCTCAATTTGTTTAGCTACTCCCACAGGGATTTTGAAAATTGATAGAAAATAGATGGGCATACAAGAGAGGACTGACCTGATCAAAGTTAAACGGCCAGCGTAAGACAAAACTTTCCTCTTCCAATTAGCTAGCTTCTTTTTCACTTTCTCGATCACAGGTTGCCATGTACTTTTTCTACTGGGGTTAGCCCCTAGAGGTAGACCCAGATAACTAAAAGGGAGCTTATGACTACGGCAGTTGAAAATGGAGGTAAACTAGTTAACCTCACCATCACGTACACCCACACCACACAACAAGCTTTTGTGGAAATTGATCTTTAAGCCGGAAAGCACCTCAAAGCAACGCAAAATTCTCTTAATGTGCACCAATTCACCTCTGACCGCCTCACAGAATATGATTGAATCATCAGTAAATTGCAGATGAGAAAATTTCAACTCAGTAGGCCCCACAGAAGCTCCTTTAACCAGCCCCAACTCCTTTGCTCTTTCAATCAAAATGTTCAAACCTTCAGCTACAATATTGAACAAAAGAGGGGATAATGGATCTCCCTGCCTGAGCCCTCTCTAAGGAGCAAATTCTCTTGTTGGAGATCCATTGGCCAGGACGGATACTCTGGATGATGAAAGGCATGATTTCATCCAACCCAACCATTTCTCCCCAAAGCCGAAATTCCTCATCATAGAAAATAGAAACTCCCAATTAACTGAATCATATGCCTTTTCGAAATCTAGCTTTAAAATGATGCCTCTCATTTTTGTAGCTTTCTACCAATGTACTACTTCATTCGCGATCAGAACACCATCAAGAATAGATCTGCCACCCAAAAAAGCTGTTTGAACTTCACTAATAATTTCTGGCAGCACTCTTTTCAACCTTTTTGATAGCACTTTTGCAAGAATTTTGTAAACTGAGTTAACGAGACTAATGGGTCTGAAATCACTTAACTCGCAAGGATCCACCCGTTTAGGAATGAGGGTGATGAAAGAGCTATTAAGACCTGAGACAATCTTCCCATTAGAGTGAAACTCATCCATAAATTGAAGAACTTCACCCTTCATTATCTTCCAGCATTTCTGAAAACAGGTCAGACTGAAACCATCCGGTCCCGGGGCCTTGTTACCATCACAATCTTTAACTGCCGCCCATATTTCCTGTTCCGAAAAATCTGCTTCTAAGGATTCTACCTGCCCAGCAAAAGAGATGGATGCAAAAGGGCCAAGAAGCTTAGGCCTAGAACTCCACGACTCAGAGAATAATTTTAAAAAATGCCTATGCACAGCTAGCTTCATTGGGTTAGGTTCCACCACTCTAACCCCATCAACCACAACTGAATCAAGGAGGTTTCTTCTTTGCCTAGAGCTAGCCATCAAATGGAAAAACCTAGTATTCTTGTCCCTACATTTAGCCCACAGCATTCTAGATTTTTGATGCCACAAACTTTCCTTCCTTCTATGCAAATTCCAAACTAGCCCTCTGACTACTCTCCTTGAATTTGCTTCTGTTTCTGACAATGCTCTTTCTTCAGCCACCAAATCCAAAGCGTGTAAATCCTCTTCCGCTTTCTTAAAATCTGTTTCCACATGACCAAACACCTCAACATTCCATCTTCTAAGACTGGCTTTGAGAGAGGCAAGCTTCCTCAACAATCTAAACCCCGCCCAACCCTATTGAACTTGAACCTCCCATGAGCTCTTCACTGCTGATATGAAATTAGGATGAAGTAGCCAAGCATTAATAAATTTGAAAGGTTTAGGGCCCCAATTCCTTTCATCCTCCTTTATCATGACAGGACAGTGATCAGAAATCGTTCTGGGCAGTCCCCACTGCTTAAAGGAGAACTGCTCAAGCCACCTACCCTCCAGGAGGAACCTATCTATCCGACTCCATCTCTCCCCGTCAAGAGCATTACACCACGTGAATCTTCTACCCTTCATGGGCAAATCAACAAGATTCAACTGATCAATCAACTTATTAAAATCATTCATACCTCTATCCCTTCTGGAGCACCCCTTCCTTTCGCTGAGGAATCTAATCTCATTAAAATCTCCACCCAAACACCAGGGAGTCGGGTAAGAGATTTTCAGACTCTTTAAGGATTCCCACAATTGACTTCTTTTACCCACATCGTTGGGAGCATAGACATTCACCACCGAGCATTGAAAGGACTGACCACAAATACCTGCTAAAATGATGAAATTTCTGGAGCCACAACAATCAACAACCTTGAATCTGTCAGGGTGCTAGATACACAGTAAACCTCCAGCCCTGCCATCGGCATCTACTCCCATATACTCCATTTTATCGAAAGGCCAAATAGATTTAATGAACTTTACCTCCAGATTACTTCTCTTGGTTTCTTGAAGTAATACCACATCCACCCCTCTTTCTTTTAAAATGCTTCTAACTTTACTCCTTTTCTCTGGCCTACTTAGACCACGCACATTCCATGACAATATCTTCATAAGACAGACTTCATAACACCTAAACTCCTACACTGGGTATTCAGACTTCATCTACCCGAACCCCATCTGAAATCCTTTCCAAATCTCGAGTTTCCAGCTGTACAATCTGTTTTGCCACGATATCCTCCTTTCCACCAAAATCAATGCCTAATTTTTTCCCAAGTTGTATTGTTGCTTCAGCCTCCTTCATCAGATTGCCCTTTTTTCTGCTTGATTCACGGATAGCCGAGTGTGAGCTGGAAATTGCAGCAGCTGTAGCTCTGAAGATGGCCCCCCTACTGAAGCTTTGAGGTAGAATTCTACCTTGCTGGAGAGCCGTACCACCCTTTTTGGCGGTACCACTCCTCCTTGCTGCAACCTTTCCTTTACAGATATGAGCAATTTCCCCCCTAACCTGATCCGACCTGCCCTCACCATTCTGCAAACATACTTGGGCTCTCTCGGCAAGGAGCTATGAACTTGCCACGCAGTCACTCAAATTAGATAAAGAAAGCCCAGCTGGCCTTTCACCTTGGGCTCTGGGAATCACTACTTCCAAATTAAAATTGGGCCTTATAGTTTCAGGCCCACTAATGCTCATCAAAAACCCATCCATGTGATTGCTTCCGACTAGAAATTGGGGCTGCACAGCCACCTCTTTTGAAACTTCGCCTACACACTTCAGAGCGTCATCATGACTACCATCCCCTTTTTTTGAATTTTCCAAGCCAGCTCCTGACACCCCTACCATGGGTCGAAACACCCTCCTGTTCCTTTCTTCCATACAGTGTGCAGTCCCCTCAACTGTGTCTTGCACTACACTTACCATCTCATTAGAAGCTGCCGCATCAGACCTACTAACACCTTCCATGCCTACCACCACCCTACCCTCTATGTCGCCGGAATTCATGGCACTCTGACTACCGGAACTGGAAAGTAAACCCTCAGAAATCTGATGCCTGCATTCCCCAGATCTTAGACTATCCGGGAAAAATAACTCTTCAATCACCCTTACTGGGTGCTGCTGCCCGTTACAATTTAGCATGATCACTTGATTAATGTACTCACACCTGCGAGTAATGATCCTTACTTTGCCGCACGCTAAAGACTCCAGAGAACTCGTGGCTTCATCAAGTTGAACGACTTCTCCCCAAATGTTACCCACCGCCTTGAAGGTGCCAACATTCCAGAGATTAAGAGGAATGCCATGACAAACCAGCCAAACACACCTTTCTTGTTAAATGGTTTTACCCTTCACCCATTCGTCCATAGAGTCGCACCACTCATATATCCACTCCTCTAATCTACCCTTCCAATCTTTCAGATGTGCCACTGACTTGAAGGATAGAAGAGCTATACGATCACCACCATCCTTTATACAAACCTCCGTCAAGCCTCGTGTGCTGCATTCTTTTTTGAAAGCATTAAAAGAGAAGAAGGATTTAAGCTTAATAACTAAACTTTCGTAAAGCCATCCATTTCCAACTTCCTGTACATCTATGGTTATCGCAGTATTCTCCTTACGTGTACCTTGTACTACATCAGCGAAAGATCTCTGACCATTGAACCCTGTTGTAGTTTTACCGTGCTTCCAATGCTCCGTCTGTACACTCTTCCCTTTTCTAACCTCTTCCTTCTTTGGATACTGAGCATCGCTTCCAAACTCTGCCAATCTCACTTTCAGACTCTTATCATCACACCATATTCCATTCGCTTTCTGGACTGCTACCCTTGCTGCTGTAACACAGTCATACCGAACAAAACCAAATCTTGAACCAGTAGCTTTCCTCCTCTTATTTGGGATGAATACGTCCTTTACCACACCATAGCTACTGAACAGATTAAAAAGACTTCGTGGCACCATAGATTCCGACAGATTATCGACAAAAACCGTGATGAATCCTGCACCCCTGTAGTGGATCTGTTGGTATCTTGGCCTTCTCTTCCGGGTCACCGGTATCCACCCCCCTCTCTCCATATGCTGAATTGCTTGAGTTTGTGATATTGCTTTAGAATAAGATTCAAGATCTTTTATGGAGTAATTAATGCTTGATTTTTAAATATTGCTTTAAAATATTTGTCAATTGCTTTAAAGGATTGTAGTGAAACTGCATGAGTTTTTTTTTTTTTTTTTATAAAAAAAAAAAACTTGATTTTGAAGTCTTACTTTAGGATAGTTGTCGAGTACTTGACAAGATTATGGAGGAATTAATTGAGTTTGAAATATTTATTTACAATAGCCTTCTAGTGTTTATATTGATCATGAGGTGTGAAAACAAAACAATTTTCAGTTTTTCGATAGCCAATTCAAGGCAAAGTGCTGCCTTACTTTATTGAGAATTTCAAACTAGTTAGCAATTAGGTAATTAGTAGACAATGTATTGTAGAACAAATTTACTTATTTTGGGAGGCTATGATTTTCTTATTTGGGGGTTTTTTCAATTTTTGATAATCTTGTGAGTAATTTGTCAACAATGCTGTTTTTTTAAGAATTTTCTAAAATTTCCATGTTTTTCTATGATTACATACATATAAAACTTCAAAGGCAAATTAAACTGAACTTTTGTGTGAATCAAGTCCCTCTTTCTAACAGAGTGGTATCAAACTTTGACCACAAATTTCAAGCAATGTGGGAATGCCAATAATGGCTTAAAGCTGAAAACTTTCGTAGGTTAAAGAAAAGAATAAAGATGATCAATATATAAAGCTGTTCCTAAACCATTTTCAGCAAAATCACTACCTAAGATGGTTATATAAGAAGATATATATACTTTCTTCACATGACTTCCATCAATGACAGTTCTTTTCCAATCCCAATTAAAATGAGTGAAAACATTGAGTGTTGTATCAGTGAGGAAGCTCTTCAAAGGCTTACAGAGGGCATTGGTAAGAAAATGGTAGAAGGTGCAGAGAAGACTCAATCCAAATCTTCGTCCTCTTGCATTTATAGGGTGCCTAAGGAGATTCGTAAGCAAAAAGAAAGTGCGTATACACCTCGCTTCGTCTCTATCGGGCCTCTTCACGGCAAGGACCAACACATTCTCAATTCGCTCATGCAGAACCTCAAAAGGAGTTATGTATATACCTTTTTTGGTCGAATATCGTCCAAGGAGGGTGGATCGGAAGTAGAAAAGCTTAATAAATCCAAGGAGGTATTAATGGAATGTGTAAGGAAAATGAGAAAGTCATTAGACAAAGTGAAGAAATGCTACGTGGAAGAAGTTGAGGATGTGCTAGATGTAGAGATGTTGGTGATTGATGGTTGTTTCATACTTGAACTTCTCTACAGATTTGCACACAAGGAGACCGATAACAGAAACGATCCTATCTTCGGCAACATTCTGACGCCTATCTATGTCCAACACGACTTGCTACTACTTGAGAACCAGCTTCCTTTTTTTGTCCTCAACGAGTTGTTTGACCTCACCGTGGCTCATATAGCGTGTACGCCTCCAACTCATACACTTGGTAAGTATGTCATTTCATATTTTCCTAACATGTGGAAATCAGAAAACGATGGAACAACAACAGCAACGGCAACAACAACAAACAATAACTGTGATCATATCCTTGATATTCTACACAACCACTATCGTCATCACGATGCAAATCCAGGATACGGTGGTCCTAGCGTGGTCATGCCATGTGCATCAGACCTCAAATATGCAGGAGTCATGTTTGAAGAGGGTAACAAAGTCGAATTTTGTAAACCTCAAGGTCCTTTTCATAGAACTCAATTTAAAATCCCAACTTTGGACCTTTATGACTCAGTCGAGCCATTCTTGAGAAATCTCATTACTTATGAGCAGTGTTGCAATGGTGTTCCTGGTTACTTCACATCATATGCAGCCCTAATGGATACACTCACAAGCACTCCCAAAGACGTTCAAGTGCTTGAAAAGGCTGGAATCATACGAAACTATTTAGGCGCCAGTGAGGATTCCTCTGATCTCTTCAACAATCTCTGCAAAGGAATTGTTCTTGGGGAGTTCTATTTCACTAAAACAACCATAGCTGCAGCTGACTACAACAAGCGTTGTTGTCATGATGCTATGGCACATCTGAGACGTAGATACCTCACCACTCCATGGACGTTCAAAGCTTTCTGTGTTGGCTTTATTACTTTCGGTATCTCCATAATTAAATTCGTCCGTGCTAACTTTCGTTGATATGACTAATTTCTTAATAATGCTAGGATAATTATAAAATGGTCATCTGGCATTGTTAATAATTCATATGTTCCTATGTTGTTTTGTGATGTACATCATATGATCCTATGTTGTTTTGTGATATAGATCAACTTAAGTCAATAAGTAACCCCTTACTTTCGAGCTTCTACAAGATTTGTACTAGCTAGAATGTCAAGGGCATATCGTATGTTTGTAAAATCATTAAGTCTGGGAATCCAGATTTTGGGCCCAGATTTATGTCATGAATTGAAGTTTGTGGTGAAGATTGAATTTTTGTATAAAAATTATGTTATTTATGGTGCTGACATTATTGTGATTAAATGTTATTTCAATGGACTTTCTCTTTAAAATGATAAGCTCCAATGCAATCATGTTGAGACGGAGCAAGGTTAAATTCTGAAGGTTGTGAAGGAAATACTTGGGTTTGAATTCTTGAGAGTCGAGTTCTTGAAACTATTGTGTAGGAATTGATCATGTTAGAAATATTGCTTCAAAAAAAAAAAGAAAAAAAGAAAAAAAAAAGTCAAGTGCTTGAAAAGATTTATCCAAACAACCTCATTTATCGAAGGAGGAATTTCCTAGACCTTTTAATCTCTATGGCCATGTTTGATTTACAAGACTAATAGTGAGGTATTAATAATCCTATTAAATTAGTGTGGTATTCAC